ACCATTTTCAAAAATATATTTAAACCTGGTTAACTGAAACAAAACTGATTTAAAAGAGTATAAGAAGATTTTTCGGTTGCAATAAGATCGACAATTGGATTGAAAGAAATCAAGTGATTTTTCTTTCTTCATCATTAAGTGCTGTGTCGTTCACAAAAATCCAAGCATGAAAATTATTCAGAAAAAAATGGGTGAAAACACACACATATAAAAAAAAGAATTCAGTATCAATTATTGACATTACTTTAAAGAACCCCCTCCCACAAAAAAAAAAAAAAAAAAACTCGTCCAAATTCATGAAAACAACAAATTAAGAATACGATTCCACTGATCTGAATCAAAGAAATTCAACTTCTTAATGAAAGACGTATCATGTCGTCCGTAATTGGAATTTCTGGTGTTGTCCATATGGAATTTGCGATGTTCCATTTAAAAAAAAAATATGTTTAATACTCTCTAGATGTATAAAAAAAAAACGGAAAAATAATCACATATCCAAGAGGCGCTCATTGGTATTGACAAGGAAAAAAGAAAAAAAAAATCCAGTTTATAAAGATTCCTTCTATCGAATTAGATCACTTAAATCATCTTGAAATATAACTGCTACATCTTTTTGCAGTACGTCGAAAACCTAAAGTAATAATAAAAACGAAAGACAAATAATGGCGCCCATTAGAATAATGATGACCTGACTCTCTTGCACTTATTTTAAAAATAATTTTTGGCAGTAACAGTGATGATGAACTCTAATAGAAAAAAGTATAATCAAAGGAAAGAAAGTAATACAATGGACGAGAGATGAGTTTAAAGACGTTATGTGAGCATTCTACTATGCCGTACAAAATTCGTACATGAACCTTCAAAGAATACTATCATGAAAGACATATTAAATCTGAGCGAAGTTTCTGAACATCATACAAGATATGTGCAATTTATATTAGAAACTCGATAGACTTCTCTGGGTAATATAAGGCCACACTCAACAGAAGTATAGGTGTTTCCGTAGCAAGTAGGGTTTTATAGGGGACGGATTTGCTTACCCTAAGTTCAACTGGGGTTGAATTCTGACTCGTCTTTCTACTGTTTGCTAAGCAGCCAAAATGTATGGAGCACAGTTTATATTGTAAACTCAACAGACTTCTCTGGTAATATAGGGCCATATCCAGAGAAGTACAGGTGTTTCCGTAGCAAGTAGGGTTTTATAGGACGGAGTTGCTAACCATAAGTCTAACTGGGGTTGAATTCTAACTTGTGATTCTACTGTCTGGTTATCAGCCAAAGTCTATAGAGCACAGTCTGCCCTACTATTCCAACGAGCCATAAGACGAGATGGACTAATACCTTTCCATAGTTCCTGTACGAAAGCGAACGGAGGTACATTGGCTAAAATTCGAACACACAGTTGCGGCCAAAATGTTCACAACCGCATTGTTTTCGTCAGAAAAGTAGGTATAATTTTTTATCAAAGTTGTTTTATATTCTATAATTTTCACAGACAATAAATACAATATTAATTGTTATTCTCTGAGATTTTGGTGTAATTTGAGAGGATAATACAAAAGTTATGGATGATTTAGTGATTTACTGATCTCAAACGCCTGCCTGCTTTTGAAAATGCTGATACTGACTTGTTGTCATGCTTGACCGCCTTTGCCTGCTAGTTCTCTTTCTTACTGTCAAGCTTGATTCTTCTCGTCGTCGTTTCACTTAAAGGTTATAAAACTTCTTTTTTTTTTCTTTTGTTTAATGCCTTGGCTAAATTTTATGGTCCAGGTTAGGACCAAGGAAGAACAACCCGAACACAAGTGTAGAAATAACGAAGGTATATTACACGAAATATTAATACAAGATGTGGAAGGTGTTAGCATGACTGTCAGTCTGGTTTGGAGTGAACTACTATCGGCACGACTCGATTCGATATTTACTTGCACCCCACCTCCACGAGGGTTGCATGTGGCACAAGGCGAGTTTTACGTGGGTTTTCCGAGCTCGTAGGCTCGGCAAAAAAATGTCCGTAGAAACTGTAAAAACAGAATCGGGTTGGTCAACCTCTCCGAACGAGGCTCTACCATTCGGCGGAGCCTCGTCCGGGTTCCTCTCTGCTCAGAGGCAGAGAGTTCGACCGTCAAGCCGAGAAGCTCAGCTCGATTCGGTATCTAGCCATCCTCCCACGAGGGTTGCATGTGGCACAAGGCCGAGTTTACAAAAGAAACTGGCAAGCCACTACATTAATTTGCCTTGAATCTCACCATGAACTACAATTATAAAATGAGCTAACTGAATAAGTGATGGTGATGAAACGTGATTGATATTGACACATAAATAAACGGGACCAGGAGAAGACCGGATGGTATAAAGATTATGGCAAAGAAGGAAAAGCCCAGAAAGTTATACACTATCACCAATGCCACAGTACTCCTACATGATCTAGAAAATGTAACCAATAATGGTGATGCCTCTAAAACTGAATTCATAGGCTTCAACAAGTAAGACTCGATAC